GTCCCCCCTTGCCTCTGTCCCCCCTTGCCTCTGTCCGCCCCTTGCCTCTGTCCGCCCTTGCCTCTGTCCGCCCTTTGCCTCTGCCCGCCCTTGCCTCTGTCCGCCCTTTGCCTCTGTCCGGCCTTGCCGCTCTGAGCGGTATGACTGAGGGGTGGTGATAGTTTAAAGGCTTGTGGGCTGAAAGACGTTGTCTGGCCCCATCCGCCTGTTTGGCGGGTGCTGAGTTGCAGACCATGTGTTCATTTGCCCCCCCACACCCACATGTCATCACACTGCAGGCAATCGCCAGTGGGCTGCCTCAGCTGTGCCGCCAGCGATCCAGGATGCACAGCGCGATCACGGACAGGGAGCAGGCTCCCCTGGACCTGTACGCGACGTTCGATGCCGCAATCCCGGGAGGCATTGGGCCATACGCCTACTTGACGCGCCTCTTTGGCTACGTCTCTTTTCCGGCGTGGGTAAGTACTGGGTTCTGCTGCCCCCATGACAACACCATGCTCGCTCTCCTTTTCCACCATGTTTTTTAACGTACTACCACCCTGCCACGTCTCCTGCCCCCTTACCCCTCTCGTGCCATCAGGTCCACACGGCGCTGGCTCTACCAGCCCGCGGGACGGACCACGGCCTGATCAGGCCACACTATGTCCGCGCCAACCCCTCTCACCACGGTGCTGCCACATTCTCGTTCATTGAGTACGAGGATGGGACTGGGGAGACCGTGGTCGGCCGCGTGCACCTGCTCCTGACGCTGATGATGAACAGCGAGGATGCACACCCCGCGGGAGAGGCCGTGGCCTTCGTGAGGCAGTGGTACCCCTACCTGGAGGACGAGTGCACTGGCTGCATGAGGATGCGGCCATCTGATGACGAGCTGAGCTACAACCTTGTGCCGGTCGCCTCCGTGCAGAGGACCGTGCACATGGTGGAGTCGTTTGTGACGCCTGGCCTCTGGTATCTTAACAGGTGGGCTGGCCGATGCCGCGAGGAGTTGCCCTAAGGCCGCCCAGGAATGTGCAGTGAATCAAGGTTCTTCTTTTGTGCTGGAATGATTGTCACCAAGCCATCTCTATGGTTTGGTTGCTACTAGGAAAGTGGAGATGCGTGTCGGTACTTGCCTCTGAAATCTATTTCTTTCCAATTGGGTGTTATCGTAGCTTGGAGGGGTCCCTTGTGTGGCTAGTAGTTGTTGTGTGCCTTTTTTTTATAATATTTTATTCTGATGGACGTGAAGTTTTTTGTTGAATCACAGGCACAACAATATGTTCTTAACTCTTATCGGATGCTACAGTTTTGAGATGTTAACACGGAAGCTTGCAGAGCGTATACCAACCCCAGCTGGAGACACAATGTGAAAGGGGTTGCATTGGTAGTAGCTAGCGTGACAGTGCGCAGGCAATGCCTGGGCCGGAAAAATTGCTTCGGGAGTGCACACAGCTTTCGAAGCCATGCCCCAGCGCGCATGGCTGATGGATACGCCGGATGTTGACAGGTTTTGGGCGTCCCGTTTTTTATGAGGCTGCTGCTCGCGCCACCCCCCACTTTCGTTGTAGTTCCGCAATTACCGCTACCGCCACCTCTCGTACCATTATTAGCACTCGTAGTGTTGGTAGCGCTGCTTGTTCCCCGCGCCGCACTCCCCTCCTTGTAATGCGAGTGCAATGGCGTGCCGGACATTCCGCTCCGGAATTGCGACTCCGCCTGCACGATCCGATTTTGCAGCCATCCCGCGAGCTCGGCGCGCAACGAACGGGTTCGAGCATACGAAAGAATTAACGCTACGGTCGGTCGATAACGAAGCTTGTTGGGAGTTGACGAGTACCGGGAGGCAGTTCTCGAACTAAATCGCTAGGGGATGGGCCTGACATGGCGAGACATGTTACGAATCTCCACAATCAGACATTGCGTGAATGAGATTCTCCACAGGAGGTACATGCTCGTGAAGGGACGGAGGAAGCCATTATAGATGTTATCGTTTATAGTTCGACGGATCTCGCCGCACGCTGTGGCCAAACCTTCGAATCCCAGGCAAAACGCGATACTTTTAGTCCCGTTCAGGAGAATTGCATGAAGAATAGTTGCTTTGCTACTAGTTTCTGGAGTTTTGCATTTACGTAGATTTGGACCGCGCTTGCTTCAACTTCCAGTCGCCCGGTTTTCCACGCCGATCAATGACGCATGACTAACGGTAAAAAAAAAAAACAAAATTAAATATGGTTTGGGGGTCGAATAGTAACCCAAAAACTTAATTTAGACCCAGTAAGCGAGATAAGCGAGATGTCATCGTCGATCGCGCTGGAGACAGCGCGACCGGATTGAGAAGTATTCGCGGTCAAGAGAAACAATTAATTACAATTTAAAAGTTAAAATATCGAATCGATGATCCCTTCTTCATTGTTTTCCATGAATGTTGGGCTGGTTTGATCTGGAGCCTCCGATTGGCTGCGGAACTGATTCGTGCAATGATTCGGTCAAGCGGCCGAATTTCCCGCCAAAAACGGGACTATAGGGGTCGGGCCAGGCCTAGGCGATATCGAAAAAATCTACTCAGGGGGGAAAAGGGACTCTCTCAGCGAGGGCCTCTAACCCGGAACATTTGTATCCTTTTCCTGGTGAAGGATGTCATTTTGGGTAGGCTGCGAAAAATGATAATGGGTTCCTGTATCGAGTCATACGTGTGTACCACAAACAAAGCTTGTTACGAAGAGCACCGCGAAAGTTGGGCGAACAGCCGATGATGATATTTGCGAATTGTCTCGTATCACTAAAAGACGAATGTGACCATAATGTTGGACTGTCGGTCAGTCGTGACACACGATAACAAAACATTATCTGGTGCGCTGCGTTCCAAAACAGTAACCGTCATTGACCTGAACGACGCTGTATGTGCATCAGAGTCCTAGGGTGGGGGGATGGTGGGTGGGAACGCATGCGGGAAACATTGTCGGTTCAGGGTTGCCTTTGAAAGACTTTGGTAACAAGCGTTGAAAACATTTCATAACGTTTATAAACGATTTATCACGGTATAAAGGGAATTTCAATTCTTGAACAGCGTGGACTTGAGATGTCTGCCACCCTGACGGATCTGCTCTGCGAACTTTGTTTCCATTTCGCGCCACGCGCCACGACGCACCAACGTGCACCTTTTAATTGCTGTGTTGGCCACCTCTTGCTAGACTCCTGAAACAATGGGTCCACTCCGACCACATTGTTCCTAGAAATATTGGTGTCACCACGACAAGTTGTGATGTCGCCAATTATCGTTGGATTACGTGCCTCGGAAAGTGGGTAGGCAACAACAGTTCGATGTGACCCAAGTTGAGCTTGCCTCTAATACTGTACGGTAGTAATTCGACGTGGGCCAGCGGCGTTCCCTCCGTGAGTGCCGTAACTCGTTCATTGCTAAGAAATTCCTTCCCATCCACCGTCTCTTTCATACTATATTCTTGCCACTGTGGTGTGACATTAGTAGTCAGAAAACACCCCTCGGACCGCACAGCAGAATAGCGTGTGCAACTCAATCTGATCTTGCCCCCTAAGCGATTCAAGCAGCAATTCCCCTTGGTTCTGGCAGCGTTTTAAACGGACGGTCCCGCCATGAGCTTGTCGTAACTTATTTTTTTCTTTCAACCAACAAAGCCTAACGATGGTGGCTGCGCGTTTCCTTTCGACTACATTGGCACTGGTAGTGCTGATGGCGCTCCATATGAGAGCCACGTCAGCGATCAGCTTCTTAAGCACTGAGGCCGGAAAAGTGCAATTGTCGCTTAACTGCGACTGGGTCGGCAACGACATTGGCCAAGCCGCCGGCAAGAACGACACGTGCGGGAAGCTGTGCCTCAGCCGCGCGGATTGCACGCACTTCACGTGGACGGCCGAAAACGGCGGCACGTGCCGGCTCAAGGGGGCAATGAACGCCACTGAACTGGTCCCCACCACTGGCACGTCGTGCGGTTACCGCGTCCGCGACAACGGCGCGATCGGCAACCCGTACAGGGGAGTTCAGCAGTACCTAAACCCGGAGTACGCGGCGAGCGTGAAAGCCGCGATGCTCGCGTCTCCCAAAGATGCGTCTGTTTTCGCGAGCGTGGCGCAGTATCCGACGGCCGTGTGGCTCGACAAGATGGCGAAGCTAAACACCATCCAAGGTCATCTGGACAACGCTGCGGCTCAGGCGGGGGGAAAGCCGATTCTCGTGCAATTCGTGATATACGACCTCCCGGGCCGCGACTGCCATGCGTATTCGTCTAATGGGGAGATTCCCAAGGGCGGCCTCGCCACTTACAAGGCCAAGTACATCGACGTCGCCGTGGCGCGCCTTAAAAACAAGACGGCGAACGTGCGCCTATCGCTCGTGATCGAGCCCGACTCGCTGCCGAACCTCGCGACGAACTTGGGGTCAGCTCAGTGCGACGCGACGACGGAGAAGGAGTACACGGAGGGCGTCGCTTACGCTATCGCGAAGCTCTCGCAGATTCCTGGCACGTCGCTGTATGTCGACTCGGGGGGCGGCGGGTGGCTCGGTGAGTGCGTATGCCGCGCGCGGTTCGTTCCGTTCCATTTTTTAGGCGCCTCAGAAATAGATTCCGTTCCATGCAAATCTGTTTCCTTCCTATCCTTCCTCCCCTTTCAGCCGTGGCCCTACTTCCACCGTTTCGCTTCGCACTCCCCCTCACCCCACCCCACCCCTCAACCCTTACCTGCTCGCCTCTCAACGCTTGAACAGGCTGGCCGAATAATATGAAGGCCGTCGTGACGGTGTACAAGAAAGTCCTCGTGCGCGCGCAGAAGATCCGCGCAGGCGCCAAGATCCGCGGCTTCGCGTCCAACGTGGCCAACTACAGCCCGCTCTTTTCCTACCGCTGCCCGGCGGCGGAGAGATGCCCGCTCACGAAGCACCCAGGCACGGGCGAGATGAATTACGACTGGAACCCGTGCATCGACGAGAACCGTTTCACCGCACGGATGAATGCGTACCTGGGAGCCTTGGGATTGCCGACCAGGTGGATCGTGGATACGAGCCGGTCCGGCCGCGCTGGCATTCGCAAGCGCTGGGGGTCGTGGTGCAACGTGAAGGGCGCGGGGATCGGACAGCGCCCCCGCGCGAATCCCGGCAGTGCTCCGCAACGTGAGCACTTCACATCACGCGCATCCTTGCTGTTTCTTTTCGCCTCTTTTTTGTCTTTTTTGGCAAATCTGTTTTGAAAAAGTCGATTCCTCCAGTAGTCACATGCCGCCGTTCCTTTTCCACACACCTTGCTTGCCCGACAGTTGATGCTTTGGCTTGGATCAAGCCACCTGGGGAGAGCGATGGCCATTCGTAAGTAAAAATGCAGGACAAACAGCTCGTTTCAATTTGTTCTTAATACTGCACTGTCGCTCTAATTGATCCTAAACATGCGGAGTGATCCTACCATGTACCTAATATAGTGTCTTTCTTCTCTTTCTGTGAGTTAATCATCATATCATCTGGGCTATTCTTCCTTGCACCTTCACTCATCTCATCTCCCTTCTCTGCCATGGCTATGCTTCGCTTTACCCTTCACTCATCTCGCTTCCTACCTCCCCCCGATGCATCCAATCCAGAAAAAAAATTGGTATTTCCCTGGTGGATCGCGAATGCGACCCCCTCGACCAGCTGGGCGCGGAAGCCTTATCTGGCGCGCCCCGCGCTGGCAAGTGGTTCCAGGCGCAATTCGCCATGCTGGTTCGGAACGCCAACCCGCCCATGCCTGCTGCAACCATGACATGATCAATAAGGGGCCGAAGAGTTGAAGGATGAGTTACCAGAGGCCAAGTGATTCGGACCTCTACGTTGTAGGCTGGGAGCTGCCCAGGCGGCAACGAAAGGAGTTCATAACACAGTCTCGTGATTTTCTTACTCAATTTAATTGGCCCTAAATGGTGTGTGCCACCTCCCCTATCGACTTTGCTTTGCTGGCCCACAAAGCTTGCCTCTCCCTCTCCATCCCTTTTCCTCTTCTCTTTCCTTCCCTTTTCAAGTTTTTCCACGTCTCTTCTTCCCCCATATCTGCATATCCTCGTAGCTATGAAACTATTTTATATTTTACCGTATGTGTTGTACTTTCCTTTTATTCTGTGAGTGCCCATGAAAACATTGATGTCATCTTGCATGGCCATGGGTTTCCTAGTAGGTAATAAAACGTGTATGGCAGGCAGCTGGCTCCTCATCCTCATCATGCATATGGTGTTGAGTGACGCTGGACACGACAGCAGTGAAATTGTTGGCTTATATGCTGTAAAATGGAGTACACCTGATGCGCGTTATAATCCCCCGTCCTCCCCTTGTGCTCTGGGCTTATAAGCGCACATGTCATTTCGGGCACTTCGTGGCTTTCGCCACGGCCCAGAGGTGCTCTTAAAAGGCAAGGGTTGTTACCCGCTTGTCTTTTCTCTAAACAGTGTGGGGTGGCCTAGTTTGGTGTGCATTCAATGGATCTGTTACCACAATTTTCACCCATTACATTAACACCCCATTACATTTCACGTCCCGCACTGTCACAAACAACACATTCATCCCTCCACCCAATACTGCTGCTCCACCTGTACCCAACCCAAATACCCACTCGTACTGTCCCATTCTTGCGAATGTGTACAAGGCGTACACCTGATGCATTAGTGAGGAACCAAATTTCTCTAAGGGGGACAGAATCCCCTCTCACGACGCACGCACAGCCGGGAGGAGGAGGAGATGTGCACTCTGTCAGAATGAGGAATGATGTTTTCATTGATGTTGGTTGGGGTACATATGACAAACCCTAACTTCTGTACCCCCTAAGACAAACCTCACTACAGGCTACAACATTTGACACACCCCCATAGCCTAAGTGAGGGGTGTCTAGCAAAATCAAAAAGAGTACGGTCACAAGACCAGTCCAAAAGAAAACAAAGCTCAGGGTGGATCACAACGTCACCACACACTCTGAGCACAAGCAACAGTGGCCACAAGGCCAGTCCAAGAGATCACAAGTATATATAGCAAGTGTACAGACGAAGCAGGCAATAAACTCAAGTCTACACATGACTAGAACCTGTGTCAACAAGGCCTAACTGCACACAACACCTCTGGTGGTCACAAGGCGGAAGCGCCTTGGTGAAGATGTCTGCAGTGTTGGCCTCGGACTCCACAAACTCGAAGCGAGCCTGTCCACGTCTCTGCAACTCTCGCAGAAGAAAGTACCTGACGTGAATGTGCTTCACTCTGCTCTCCAGTCGCGGCTCACGACAGAGGAGGATCGACGCCTTGTTGTCAGTAAACAAGGTCGGTGCAGAGCTCGGCCGCTCACCAAGGTCGGCGAGCAAGAAGGTCAACCACCGCAACTCCTGTGCCGCCATGGCACCAGCGTAAATCTCAGCCTCAGCTGTAGAGGTCGAGACAGAAGAGGAGCGCGTGGAACGCCAGGAAACAGCTCCAGAACCCAGACTGAAACAGTACCCCTGAGTAGACCTGTGAGTCTCAGCGTCGTCAGCGTAAGAGGAGTCACAGTGACCAGTGAGTACGACAGACTGCTGCCCTCCAAGAACTAGCCCCACGCCTGATGTAGTCGCTAGGTACTTCGCCACCCTCACAGCTGCCGTCCAGTGAACAGGACGGTGTCTCCCTGGCGCAACAAAGCGCGCAAGGATACTGAGAGGGAAGGCGAGGTCCGGGCGAGTACAAGTCATCAGGTACATGAGGCAACCCACAAGCTCTGCGTAGGGACCACTAGGCTCAAACGGCTCGTCAGGAAAGGGACCAGTGAGTCTGTGGTCAACAGCGAGAGGTGTGCGCTGTACGGTGGAGTGCTGAAGCCCGAACCGCTGAAGGACCTGCTGCACCATGTGTGACTGTGAGAGTGTAATGGTGCGAGCGGCTCTGTCCCTGGTGATCTGCAGGCCAAGGTAGTGGCGCAGCTCACCAAGATCAGTGCACGTGTGTCTCTTCTGCAGTTCGGACTTCACGTCTGCCAAAGCAACCCTGTCCGGAGTGGCGAAAACGAGGTCGTCGACGTAGACCAGAACAAAGAACGGTGTGGAGCCACGACGAACGAACAGCGACGGGTCGGCAGAAGACGGCTGGAACCCAAGGTCAGAGAGGGTAGAACGCAGAGTGTCGTGCCACTCGCGAGGGGCCTGGCGAAGACCGTAAACAGGTCGCCTCAGCCTCCACTGGGTCCCAGGAGGGAAAGTGCCAGTGAAGGCCGAGGGACGACGCAACCAGACCTCCTCGTGTAGGCTGCCCTGAAGGAAAGCAGTGGAGAAGTCGAGAGAGTGTAACTCGTAGTCTCTCTGTGCTGCTACGTGTAGTAACACCCGAAGAGTGGTCATCTTCGGGGTAGGTGCGAAGGTCTGAAAGAAGTCAACTCCCTCGCGCTGACTGAAACCTCTAGCCACGTAGCGCGCCTTGAAGACCGGGGGAGATCCCGGTGGCCGCTTCACCCTGTAGATCCACATGCCGTCGACTACGTTCGCCCCAGGGGGGGGAACCTCATCGACGTAGGTGCCTGTGGATCTGTAGGAGGCCATCTCTGCGTCCATGGCAGCTCTCCACTGAGAGGCCCAAGGCCCTGACACTGCCTCAGCGTAAGTGCGAGGAGTCGGAATGTCAAGGGCGTCGGGGTCACCCTCAGGGGCGAGGAGCATGGCACAGAGATGAGGGGAAGCGGCCGCCAGGAACTCTAGCTCAAACTGCCTGTCCTCTAGGGCGTCACAGCCAAGGGCAGACACACCCCCGACGGCCAGAGGACTGGTAGGAGGAGCAGCCACAAGCGTGGTGGCGTAGTCAAGGCGGCGGGTAGCGGCAAAGTCAGTAACCGCGGCAGTAAGAGCAGACACAGAGGACACAGAGGCACGAGGGTGAGTAACAAGAGAGGCGAGAACACGAGAGAGAACAGGACGGTACGTGCGGTAGTAGTCAGTGACAGGAGCAGGGAGCGACACGGTGAGGGCCGACTCAGGAGGAGACGGAAGCACAGACTGAGACGGACGAGGTGGACTGTAACAAAGTAAGGCAGTACGAAGGTCAGTGAAGGGAACAGGAGACGAGGGACGAGCACGAGGGGAGCGACGAGTAGCCCAAGAACGAGACGGAGGAGGAGAGGACAAAGGCGGAGAACTAGAGAAAACAGCGGGGGAGGAGTCAGGCGGAGGAAACGTGGGACCGTAGACAGGAGGAGAGGCGGAGGAGGGAGGAGAAGGGGAGGGGAGACCAAGGGCCCGAAGACCCGAGACAGGAGGAGGAAGTGGCTGCTGCTGCTGCTGCTGCGTCTGCTGCTGCTGCGGACGCGGCTGCTGCTGGGACTGCTGCTCATGCGGGTCCAGCTGCTGCTGCTGCTCCGCCAGCCGCTGTAACTCCCTCTCCTCTCTCTCCAACTCCAGCTGCTCGTCACGCGCACGGCGAACACGAGCCTGGTGCCTAGTCGGGTAGGGGTGGGGGGGCGGAGTAGTGTCCGAAGCAGCGGCAGCTCCAGAGTCAACCCCCGAAGAACCAGGCGCACCACCCCCAGAGGCAGCACTAACACCAGCTCCAGACCCAGGCGCACCAGAACCCGAAGCAGGCGCACCCTCACCCCCGGAGGGAGCACCCCCAGAGTCCGCGCGGCCAGCACCGGCTCCCGGACGACAAGAGTCCTCTGCACCCACCGGGTCAGCTCCAACTCCAGAACCAGAAACTCCAGCTCCAACTCCAGCACCCCCAGAACCAGAAACTCCAGTGCCTACTCCAGCTCCACCTCCAGCTCCAACACCAGCTCCAACTCCAGCACCCCCAGAACCAGAAACCGGTACAGGAACAGGCGCAGCACCAACCTCTCGAGAGCTAGCACCAGCGGCACGCTGCGAGGAGGACTGTGGGGAGGGAGGCTGTACCGGAGGGGCTACCGAAGGAGGAGGGGTAGCCTGGGACACACCTGACGGGGCTGGGCCAGGGGGGGGAGGCTGTACCGGGGGAGCAGGAGGGGGAGCGGCAGTCAGGAAGAGGGGGGGAGGAGGAACCGGGAGACCTCGACTGGGGTACCTGACGTAGTACGGAGTGGACTCCTCGAAACGGACGTCACGGGAGTCAAAGAACCGGTGAGAGGGAGGGTGGTAAAAGGTGAAGTCAGAGGAGTCCTCAGGGAAACCAAGGAAGACACAGGGGACGGCACGAGGCGAGAGCTTGTCCGCGGAGGTGTCGCGGACAAGAGCCAAGCACCCCCGGACAAGAGCTCTGATACCATGTCAGAATGAGGAATGATGTTTTCATTGATGTTGGTTGGGGTACATATGACAAACCCTAACTTCTGTACCCCCTAAGACAAACCTCACTACAGGCTACAACATTTGACACACTCCTCCTAAATGGTGATGACGGGGCTTCACAGCCGCATCCACTCAGCGGCAGCCAAGTAGCCTGACATCACAGCGGGTGCCCCGGCATCAATGAGCTCCTGCCGACGAGCAGACTGGGCCACCCAGTCAGGGGTCGGCACCGTTACCCACGCCGGCAGCACGCGACCACGGCGACGTGGAGTCTCTGCCGTCGGGTTGTCCTCGTGCGACATGGCGGTTGGCATAGACGCGTTAAGGTTGAGAGCAGGGCTTGCGCGCTCCATCCACGCGATGATGATCGGGTTACGAATGTCAAACAGTGCGCACATGTCCCGCGGCGTGATGCATGTCGCGCGCGCGTAGCCAATGAGCATTTCGCACGCGGCCCGAGCGGTGCGACGTGCTTCGCGCGTCGCAGGGTTGCTGTCGTCGTAGACCACCTGCATCGACGCAGGCGCCTCCCACATCTCCGCCGTCGGCTCCGATCGCGGCTCGATCGCCAACGGATCCTCACTGGGCTCGGCGCACGTCGGCTGGTTGGCATCGATGGCGACAAACTCCTGAGCGGGCATCGCGCTGGGCCCGAGTCCGAGCCGGTCAATCAGGCTACCGACGTCGTTGACGTCATCATCCAGGCCGATGTCACCTCCGGCAGTGGGGCTGCCGCCAACTCCTGGCTCCACGTGCGGGAGTTCCATCGCCCAGGCGTGCGGGAGACAACCGGTGCGCCACCAGCAAC